TGTTCGAATACTTGTGCAGTAGCAATAAATTCTCACAACTTGAGCACACTGGTTGACGTGGCTTTTTTATTATAACGGCATTTTCTCTCGATCTCCCTTCGGCGTCGAGGCGGGGTTCGCGAGTTGCAGCTCCCTCTCATGCGATGCCGCTGTCACGTCCAATCAAGTCGGGGCCGGTGCACCAGCGTGCAGCGGCACGCGGCCGAGGGGAGTGACACTGCACTTCTGCTCGGGGGGGGGGGGGAGACTCGCAGAGCTCCAGTGGGGGAGGCGTGTGATACAGCAGAGAGCGAGCCGGTACCAGCTGCAGCCGTGCTCAGACTCGACCTGTTGTTGGTGTTGTATGTCATTAGACTGCGTGTTAGTCATGGTGTCGCTTTTTTAGGCCAGGCCTCCCTCGGAGACCCTGCAGACCTATTTTCTCAGTGACTAACTGATGACTTCTTACACGTGCACACCGCCTTTCGCCAGCTATGGTTAGTGTGTGTGTGTGTGTGTGTGTGTGTTCTCTGATTGTATCTGAATGATCAGCTAAATAAAGCAGGTGGTGGTCACATTTTTTTGTGCACCTCAAAATGTGAGGATGTCACGCTGACACGTCGACCCCTTCTCGCCACGCCGCCTATGAGGTCGTTCTGAAATTCAGATTGCACACTTCACACTTTGCTCAGACTCAGTCCAATGGGTTATATTTAGTATTGAGCCTCTTGTTGTCACCAGAATGTTTAGACACACCGAGAGCTTCCTGTTTTTAAAGAGATTGTGTCATCATTTCTTGATTGCACGGCCAGCAGACGAAACGAACACCTCCTGTATTGTGGTTTTGTATTTTAAATGTTCTTTTAGGAGGATTATGTGTTGGACTGTTTTCCAACCTGTAATTTTGCAGCGTCTGCTGGTTGCCTGGCAACTGCTCGGAACCGAGAGATGCTCTGGCACGCAAGCCACGATAAAACAGCCCATTTTCTTTTAACCGATTAGGCAAAGATACAACGTGTTAATTAGTGAGCTTTCCTAATAATTACAGAGAAATGTGCCAAGCGCACCTATAATCTACTCCCGCAAACCACACCAAGAGACGATGCACAAGACATCTGCAGTTATCCCTTCCATGTCCCCGTGAAACCAACGAAAACACGGTTATGTTATTGGTGTTTCAGTTTGGCTTCGATGAATCAAGCAGAAACTGTTGTTTTCAAGCAAGTTGAGGAGAAATTGTGGACTTAAAGCGTAAGTAAGGTGTAATAACTTAAATTTCCAATAGGACATCCGGGTGGATATTGGCAGGCATGATACACATGCTGGTGTGTGTGTGTGTGTTGTGTACACAGCACAGTGGGGGGGGTTAAAGGACCCGGTCCCAGTGTTTGTCGTGTACACCTGATCCCCGCTCCGGCTCTGTTTAGGGGTAAGCAGCAGCAGCAGGCCGCTTCGCTCCCCTGATCCCCCGCTCGGTTACAAGGTCACCGTCGGGTCAGCGGGTCGGGCTGTAGGCGCCGCGCGCCTTCACGCGCTGCTGTTTTTTTCGACCCACTTTTCTTGTGACGTGATCGCTGTTTGCGTTGCCAGATGTAAGCGAGGGAGTCCAGGTTAAGCGGGCGGCTTCAGGCGAGGGCACGAGTGAATACGAGAGGACAGCGGGGCCCTTTTTCCTCTCATTACTGCCGTGGTTCGGAGCATCCACGGTCTCGTATACACCGCGTTCATTGTGGCATCTTGTGTGTGTGTGTGTGTGTGTGTGTGTGTGTGAGAGCTACGTGCAATTCCGTTTTCCTCTTTGAAGAGGTGATATTTTTTTTGGAACAGAGCTTTTCTTTTTGAACCTTTTCTCAGGCAGTGAGCTAATTACTTGAGTCACGAGGGAGACGGTCTATTTAAAGGCAACGCGGCGGATAATTGCTCTTAAGGAGGATGAGGACGCTTTAGTAGGACTCGCCTGTTTAATGCTTGGATGTAAAGGAAAGGGGCAAAAAACGGCAGTTTGAGACTCGGACGGACGCGCAGCTGTGTGTGTGTGTGTGTGTGTGTGTGTGTGTGTGTGTGTGTGTGTGTGTCTGCGGTTAATGTTGATGTGTTCACACCTGAGTGTTTGTTTTGATTCTTTTCACCTCCCCTTTTTTCACATCATGAAACATCATGAAGATTCAAGATGGCTTCTTCTTCTAAAAAAAAAAAAGATATTTTAGAGATATAAATAACAAATGAAAGATATTTTAATATTTATTATGACATAACAGTGAATAAATAACACAATCTGTTGTCATGGTAACATCTTTTGTCCAGTGTAATGTCTGTGATCGTAACGTACTGGTGTAACCGGCGTTCCTCCTCCCTCCAGGCTCCAGCAGTACGTCTACCCTCAGGCCTTCCTCCACCCGAGCCTGGTGCTGCAGTCCCAGCTCAGCCCCACAGCGGCGGCCCCTTACCTGGACTACGGCTCCGCCTACAGCCACTACGCCCCCGCCGCGCTGGAGCAGTACCCCTACGCCCCGTCGCCCTCCGCCGGGTACCTCGGCTACAGCTTCTCCCCCGGCACGCCGGCGCCCGCCCTGGCGGCCTCCCCGGCCCCCGCGGCCGCCCTCCACCCTCACCTGGCCGCGCTCGCCGCCCCGCAGGCCTTCCTCCATTACCCGCTGCACCCGCCCGACCGCATGCAGTGAGCGGCTTCTGGGTGGAGCTGCTGCTGCCGCTGCTGGCGATGATTGAACTGATGATTCCGAGCCGCGTGACTGCTGACCTGTGACGTCATCGGGACTGGTCAACCGGGGAGAGAGTGTGACGTGATCCAAAGGGCTTTTAGAAAGCACTCATTCCTCTTTTTTAAAACGTGTATCTATATATGTATAGATATATAGATAGTTATTGATGTTGTAGTAGGTGATGAAATGTTCTATTGCTACGGTCATCAGCGCTGGATGTGAATGTTTTTCATACGTGGCAGACGACTGGTAATCTTCTGGACGTCGCGCTGACCCCGAGGTCGGCGGCGGGCCGACCGCTGGACAGCGCGCAGGTGAAGACAACGAGGAATCCGTCATGTTGGACGCTTTGATGCTGCGGCTGCAGTTTCTCCAGAGGTACTGAGCGGGACGCTGGATTCCAGCCGAGCCTGGAGGCCCGATTACTTCCTCTTCAAGGTTACCTGTGTGTCGATGGCCTTAGAGATCTCCCTCTCTCTCTCCCCCTCTCTCTCTCTCTCCCTCTCTTTCTCTTTCTCTCTCTGTACCCGGATCGCGTTGTGTTTGTCCATTTTTATTGGTCTCTTATCTCAATTCAACAAAATGTTTATTGTGCCCCCTTCTGTTCGTGATAATCACAGACTAACAGAATATGCAATTACGATGTAAAAGGATGAGGCCATTTTGTTTGTCGCAGAGAGAAAGACTTTCTTAACGCTAAAGACACAATAGTTATCAAGGAAAACGCCCGCAGCGGCTTATTAGGCTCATTTCTTTTCAGACCTGCAACTTTTTGGAGCAAGAGTGTGCGGATTGTTTGTTTTTAAGATACTTAAGATTACAAAGTGGTCAATGCATATCAAGTAAATGTGTTTGTGTAGGTGCTGTCGTACTGGACGTGTGCGAGTGTGTTTGTGTGAGAGGGAAATAGAGCGGCGTGGTGCGCGCCGTGTCAGGACCTTTTCCAGCCCATTGTGCTGCTCAGAGTTGTGTCTTTGTTTCGTCTGTCTTTGTCTCTCTTTTATTTTTTTCCAGCTGAGGAATACAGACGGACACTTCAGCGACGATAATACCGGAGTCTCTTAGTAAAGTAATAAACCAAGCCATACGTCGCGTTCGAAACAAATATGCAAAATAAAAAGGAACATTTCTGAATGAGACGTTTATGGAGTGTTTTTAGAATTACAGCAACTGAGGTTACGAATCTGTGTGAGACGCGTCCAACCGGCCCTTCCGTCCTGCAGATGGCCCACGTGCTAGGTGTTCGTGCTAAGCTAACCGGCTGCACCTCGAGGAGGCAACATTACTGGTCTCATAAAACTCTCAGCAGTAAAAAAGCAAATATGTGTAGTTTTCTAAATGTGACATTTTCTTTGAATATTTAAGTTGTTTATGATAATCTACACTTTTGTAAGACGTGTTTATGACATTATAAACTATTATGTTTTTTTAAATACCCTTTTCCATATTATAATTAGAACTTTTTTTTAAATGGCATACCATGACTTTGTATCTATTGTGTAAGATACTATGCCTTTTTTACATGTTCATGACTTTTTATGATTTTCTTAAATATTTACTTTTCTGAGATGTTTATGACATGCTTTAACTTTTATTTTTAATAAAAACAATATATATCTATTTTTTTGCCATCATTACTGTGGTTAATTACATTACGTTTTCTTTAAAGCATTTTTGAATATTATAATGAGTTTGCTTTGACCTGAAATTCTGTTACTTTTTGTTATAATTTTTAGCATACTTTACTCAACTATACAGTATATACTATACGTTTTATTTAAAAATGATACCATACCAATCTTTTTTTGTTCATAACGTGCAATAATATGGTAATTTTGGTCCTGCTAGAATTTGACTATTATTTAAATGACATTGTTAATTACTTTTTCATGATTTTTTTTCTATATGACTAAATCTTTTTCACATTGCTTTTGTTAACTATAATACTATATACTACTTACTATAACTTTTGTTATAGAATCTTTTACTGTGGTTTAGTGTTTTTTCCATGACACACTACTAATTTATACGACCCGTTTATTCACACACGCGGTGACATTTTTAAGGCTGTGAGCACATTGTGAGATCTCTCCAATCCGCCATTACATGTATATTACATGTATATGATGAAGACTGACAAATTGTAAATCCATGTTATTACCCACAAAGTTTTATTATAGTGTTTATAGAACAATGGAGCTCTATGGCACCGGGTAATGAAGCTTTGGCTACAGACAATACACCATAGTGAAAGCGATTCATTGTTTTTCATAGTATTTGTTGACTAGAAGAAAAACGTAGAATATCGTCAGACTTTAACAGACTTTCTTTTTCTTCTCGGCTCTGGAGGAGGAGCCCTGCGTGACTTTATCAGCAAAATAACAGAAGACATTGGAAGATAAATGAGTGCGTTTCTTATCAAACACCAGCAATTGTGCACTTCTGGGTGAACCCTGTCTGACACATACAGCCCTTTCCTTGTCTACACCCAAAGGAATATGTCAAAGTTGTATAACTTATTACAAAATTGATTTTCTTTGACCGATTCATCGATGATTCAATGTTGTCAAAAACAAAAACAAATGACGTTGCCTCGATTTTGTGCCATGTGCTCTTTTCGCCCTCTTCTGGCCACATGAGGTACTGCAGGGGACATTTCCCTCGATGCACAGCAACCTCACAACATGCTCAATTTAAAGGAACAAAAATGACTCACACTTTTCATCAAGTTTTCTATGTTTATTATCAATGAAATGTTTATTGAAAAGCCTCATGCTCCCAGTGAGGATCAAATAATAAAAGCTTACACAGCCGATCTGCGGTGAACAGACCTGCTATCGAAGTCTGGGATACAACATTTCCTTTGTATTGCGCTGATTCAGAACAAAAAAAGCTGATGGTTTATGTAAAAATGAATATCATAGCAAATACCATAGTGAGGGGAGGAGAAATGATCATGTCTTACAAATTGGTGACAAAACAGTTATGGGTACGAAACAGGAGAAGGGTAATGAAATTAAAAATTAAAAGTACTGTATCTGCAATCTCGGTCTCACACACACACACACACACACATAAACCCATGTACACACTAA